TGATTAACATACCTTTTCTTACATTTGCAAGTCACCTGTAAGTGTTGGGGATAGAAATGCAGAGGTGAACCTTCAGCAAGATGGATTGGTGCCATCTCCTGAGAAATGCTGCTTGGTGTCTGGTCCACTACTTTGAAAATTACATGGAAGTCAGCTGTAGCCTTCCCTCTCCTTCTGGACAGCAGCTTCTGGAAGAATGCACCTCCTGTGAGGGGACCAGCTGGGAGGAGAAGTTTATTTACTCACAGTTATCACTCCCCCAGAAAATGAATACTCTCTAATGCCCATCCCACACCATCCAAGCGTTCTTCCTTCTGCCTCCACAGTTTGGTGGCTGCTTTACTATGATAGGGAGGGTGAGCTCACAGTTAACTTGTCCAGGAATACCTAGGGATGGAAGATGCATAAAGTGGAAGCTCATGTCGACCTGGGTGGGAGTCAGCTTGAGGTAATTGAGTCTTAGTGTGTGAGCCTCTTTCTGTTTGTTTTAAATAGTTAGTCTGCAAGCATCAACATAAATAGGAATCACTTCCACTCTTGCAGTTCAAAGCATTTTCACAGTGTTTATAACTGCTAATGAACAATGTTTCAGAGAAAGCAGAACCCAGGCCTCTAAGATTTGCACATTTGGGGTTATGAGATGCTCAAGCTTGTGTATTGTAAACAAGGTTTAGGAACTCCTCTGTGTAGCTGTGCTTTGGACTGTAGCAAGCTTTAGAAGAAGATGTCTAATTGTGCCTAGATTTATTTTACAAACTGGGACCGTTTCAGCAGTCTGTGTGGCATTCTATCCAACTGTTTGTTTAAGACAAGCCAAAGCCACTTATCGAAAGATGATTCATTCTCAGTCTTGAGCTGACAGAACAAGGCTGGGAAGGGCGAAAACTGAATTATAGGGTTTAGCCTGAGCCCATCTTCAGTCAAACCATGAGGGGAACATGAAAGACTGGCCCTAACGTTGTTCTGGAAAGTATTTATGGGTCTCTTGTACATTGCTTGTAGGACACCTTTTTAAAACAAACAGCTGTGGTATGTAACTGACTCAGAGTTGAACTTTGCAGCTGTTCCTTCCTATCTGCCTGGTATGCCAAAGGAAGACCCTGCAGCTCAACATCTCTAATATCAAAATGTGAATTTAAATATTATAATTTTATATTTATATAATTATTCAGCTTCTGACTTCTTGGGTTTGGCAGTGTAAGCAAAATGGAGGCAAGTATGTTTCTTTATCTAGTTCAGAAAAATAGATGTTATTTATTTACTTTGCATATAGCAGTGTTGTGTAGGAAGAGTTAAGAGCTGAATAGTATTAGCTAGAAATGTGAAAATACAACTTGAGACAGTGTATCTGGCTGTCAGAAGTTCTCTGTCAAAGAGGAAGAAAGTTTTGCTGATATTTTAAGATGGTTTGTTTTCTTAGTGTAAACAACCAAAAGATTTTTGCATTCAGGGACTCAGTTTTATTCTCTCTGAATGCAGTGAGGATCTGATGTTCTCACTGACATCTTTTCACTGTGTTAGTCTTCACTTGAGGCAGAGCCTGCCCATGAGCATGATTCAGAGACCAGAGTAAATAAGGCTGAATATTTGTTTTGACCGGTCCAAAAGCTGTGCATCTGGGGAACGATGGTTGGGTGGGATGGTACTGCTGAGACCCTCACACTGGGGAGCTGCTGTGGTGTGCAGCTTATGTGAGTGCTTGTATGCGGGGCTGTTTTTCTCTTGGGGCACCCACTTCCACAGCTGTACAATTGAATGCAATAGGGGGAGGCCCAAATGACTAAGGGGCAAGCTTACTTTTTGTAGTCTGCTTCCTCAGAATTATTTTGAATGAGTTAATACCAAAGGGGTTAAAGAACCATGTATATTTTGAGTTTGGGCTGTCAAAGCAAATATTTTGACGGAAGTGGATATTGAGTGCCGTGCTGTAAAGAACATACAGTTCTGTCATGGAAGAAACTTGTTAAAGGTTTTCAAGCTTGCAAGGGTCTAGCTTGAGTTTCTCTGTTGAGCAAAAATGGAAGAAACAGGGCAAGCAGAGTGCTGAAGGGAAGCTTCATGAAGTGCAGTCATCTAGCTGGAAAGGCTCCCATGCACAAACATGCTGTCGGAGTTGCTTGAGAACTGGATAGGTTCATTTGGAGACTCAAGGTGTGGAATGAGTTGGACAGAAAAGAGTTACACAAGTGTGACTGAACTGTAACTTATCTTCACGACTTTAGGTGCAGTCTTTCCTTGCTCACAAATAAGGAGTGGCCCTGCCCCTCCTCTCATCCATGTGCCATACTACTTTTTCTGTTTCTGTCTGCTCATGAAAACAAGTTGTGTTTGTGTGGCCCCTGCCCCTCTTCTGGTCTTGCCATCCTACTTCATATGTTTCTGTCATCTGCTCACAAAAAGGAGTTGTAGGTGAGTTGTACTCCCATGCAAAGGAATCGCTAGCGCAATAAATTTAAGCAGTTCACCCATGAATAAAGGTACATTGCTCTGGAGATACATTTTGTATCATAAATGACTAGTTACCTGGCAAAAGCTGAATTGTGAAGGTTTCATTGGAAAGTGAGATATAATCTATTGAAATGTAGTTACTAATGACATTGACTAACTTTTCAGTGCTGTGAATTTTCCCTGTGTTGCAAAACAGTATGTGTTCCAGTGAAGTCCTGAGATTTGACATGACCTCCATATCATCTTTAGACAGGCTGTTTTGCTTATGCAGTGACTTTTCTGAAGATACTCTGTTTTAAAATGTTACTGTAATTTATTAATGGGCTTGCATTTCATATGGAAAAGAAGCCCATGGTTTGGTCTTTTCTTCTGATTCTAATATAGCATCCCATATTTGTTGTCAGTGCCATGTCTTTATGGCTGTCAGTGTTCATCTGCAGTTTCCACCTACTTAGGTAAATATAAACTTTGTTCTCATCTGTATTCAATAAACAGTGTTTTCTGTTCAGCAGGTACAGAGTAAGCAGTAACAGCTATGATGTGTGTTCAAGTCCTATGTCTCTTGCACCTTAATTAAAATCCTTGAAGTACAAAGGTGAGGAGTTCATATGGGTGCGGTACTTGCACAGAAATACAGATTCCAACTCTGCAGATTTGGAATTTCTCTTACAAAATTCAAGACATTTTCTATTAAATTCTCTTCAATTGTGCAGATGACATAAGAAGAATGTAGGTTTGCAGTGGACATTTCCTACATTCCAATTGTTATTTAAAGTGGAAATACTGAGAGAATTAACTTTTTTGGGGCAGGTTGATGCTTCATCTCTCTGTTATTACAAAGGGTGTATGCAAGTCAGCAGTATGTCAGGTTGCTTGAAATCTTCAGTTTTTCCTCCCCAGAATGGAAACTGAGCTGAACTGTTATCTCTGTGTGGCTAAAAGCACAACTAAATATGTTTTGCCTTTTTCAAGGCAATGCCATTATATTGAACTAAGAGTGACAAAATTCAGTTGTTGCAGAGCAGCTTCAGTCTGTGTGTTTGCTAATACCAAAGGAGTCTGCAGATCTAGACAAGGAAGACAAATATGGATAAAATCTTGAGGATGATTCACTACAACTACTACAGAAGGGAGTAGATATTGCTGGATGAAATTCTGAATGTGTTGAAGTTGTGGGTGTGTGTTTTGTTTCACATGCAGTGGTACTAGGATTCAACCACTGAGCTCTAGACTCCTAAGAAATAAATACCAAACCCATGACAAAGCTGAAAAAAAAACTGGGAATGTCTGTTTTCCTGGCATCTGCTGACCCCTTTGTGCTTGGCAGCAGTCCAGCAGTGAGGTCCAGATCTGGTTCTCGACTCTCTGGTCTCCAGTTCAATGTTGGTATTTTGCTTTTTGTGAGGAAAACTTGGAAGTGCTACATTCTCATCACAGAGGGAGTAACATGAGGGCATTTCCTGCTCCCACCCTTGCTTTCAGGTGACAGAGTTTCAGTTCAAGCACAGAGGTATGTGCGATGACCCATTTGTTATTTTGAGGCCAATATTTGGGTACAAGTTGGAAGTACAGTGATCTCTGATTGCCTCTTGCATTAAGGTAAGTGTAACTCTGGGAATATCATCAGCTACTGTTCAAAGGCGGCTTAAAGGCTTGGGTAAAGCCCTGGGAAGGGGGGAATTCAGAGGAGTCAGGAAGCTCCAGGGTGACTGGCAGCCGCTCTTACTGGGGCTCTTGGCCACTTGGCTGCAACTGGGGTGTTTTTCCTCAGATTCCTGTTTACAGTGGTGTTAAGTCTCCAGAGACTGCCGGTGGTAGCATCAGTTCAAGATGAGTTGTGTGACATACCTGCAGGCAAAATGCTTTTCTGAATCAGTGGTGCAAACCTGGATACAGAACTCAGGGAAGCACTCTTCCTGCAAAACTCAGGCTTCAAAGCGATGGGCTCTGTCACCACATAGCAGGGTGGGCTGTCCCAGCTGTAGTCCCGTTTGCCTCCTCTTGAGGATGGTGCTCGCTCAGCTGCAGTCAGTACAAGGTTGGAAGGTTGGAACAAGGTTCCTTCATTGCCCTTTGCACCCAGGTGCCCATGGCCCACGGAGCTGTGCCTGGTTTCTGTCCTGAAGTCGTGACGTGCTGCCTTCCCAAGCTGAAGGCAGGAGCTGTGCGTCTGTGAAATGCTTAAACATGTACAAGTATTTTGCTGAGTGTAACTGCCAGCAATCTCAGTGATTTCTACCAGAGGAAGATGATGGTTTTCTGGTAGGAGTGGGTGGGACCACTGGGTGTGACTGAGACCTTTGCTTGAGAAGTGCTTGGCAAACACCCACAGTGGGATGGGGCAGAGCAGATACCGTAAGTACTGCTGGGCAGCCAGAGGTTAATCGCTCTGCTGGGACAAACCCAGGAGGTTTCCAGCAGGCTCTCCTTAACTGGCCCTTGTTAGAGCGGTTGCATTTTGATGTGGATCTGCACTAGATCTTGGCTCTTTGTGGGGGTGGAAATGAAGACTTTTTCTCACTGCTGATGTGTTGTCTCTTTTTTTCCTGTAGGTGTGTGATGTCAAACAGTGGGCAGTCCTTGCAGCCTCCCCCGCCAGCCTGCAACATCATGTGCCAGTATGAATATTAAGAAAGAAGAGTGTACTTCAGAGCTCAGCATCCCAGAAAGAAAAAAGGAGGAACAGAAAGAACAAATAACTGCACTGCTTGCAAAACTTGGGGCCGTTTACTTTTTCTTCTGAGAAGTATCATCTAGGCATCTCTGAGACAGCTGAAAAAGCAGGCAGAACAGTTACTGCGATTTTCTTAGAGTCCTTTTTTTCTTTTTTTAACTTAAATTTTTCCTCCCCTTGTGCCTGGATTTTAAGACCATCAGCTGCACTGATCACAGGCACTGGACACCAATATGTGTCATGTCATTGTAACGTGTCGGTCAATGCTGTGGACTCTCCTGAGTATTGTGGTGGCTTTTGCAGAGCTCATAGCTTTCATGAGCGCAGACTGGCTGATCGGCAAAGCAAAGCCTTCAAGCTCTGAGGATGTGGACAACAGAACAGGGGGGTCACAGGAACCTTACCGTCCGACTCTGGGCATCTATGGGCGCTGCACCAGAATCTCCCACATGCAGTTTTCTAGACGAGACACACTTTGTGGTCCTTACGCCGAAAACTTCAATGAGATTGCCAGTGGGTTCTGGCAGGCAACTGCTATTTTCCTAGCTGTGGGAATCATGATTCTCTGTGCCGTGGCATTTGTGTCTGTCTTTACTATGTGTGTGCAGAGTATTATGAAGAAAAGCATTTTTAATGTCTGTGGGCTGCTACAAGGGATTGCAGGTACGTGTACGTTGAGAGCAACTAAAGTTTTTAATTTTGGGGCCATTCAGCTGAAGAAATGTAGTGATTCTGCCCTGTCTACAGCTAGACAGCATTAGACCCAGAGCAGTTCTATATGCTGGTTGTTTATTCAAACACAACTGAAATTTATAGCTACACAGCATGTAATACATCGACATTGGCAGCACAGTTGCAGCCTGATGTGTGCCAAAATGAGCTGACCAGTGTTGCTTTTGTTTGCTGCTTAGCTTTTTCCCTCTGTTTGAATTTTTTTCAGTAACAAAAACTTCTCTCCTTTGTTACCAGCAGAGAACAAAGTTAATACATTGAGGCAGTCTGTTTCCCTCTCGCTACTTTAGTACTTTTTCCATGGACTGAAGGCAGTTGTTTCAGGGTCTCAGAGGCTTTGTGGCTGTGGTCAGCACAAATACCACCCCAGGGATAAGAACAGCCTGCAGTCACACACCCAGTTCTCCAGTATTTCCTGCTAAACAGCGTCCTTCAAGGCTGTGAGCTTGACAAGCAATACCTTAATGATAAACTCTTCCTGTAGCCAGCTTATTGTTCAGCTGCAGTTACACACCCCAGTGAGCTTCTTTTCTCACTGTCCAAGAATCAGCTGTGCTTTGTCAGAAAAGATGAATTGGTTCTAGAGATTTGGTGTTTCTGCTTAAACCCATGGATTTAACAGAGATTAAATGACTGTTAGTAAACCAATGCTGGACAGCCCAAGTTAGAGAAATACTTGGCTTTCTGTACATGCCAGTGAGCCACAGGGAGAACCTGTCCCATGTGCAGATTTTCCCCTTTTGTGCTGTGCATGTGTGGTCATCCAGAGGAGAGTGGTCTTCTTTCTGATCTACCTCTGGCAGCCCTCAGAGACTTAGGAAGGGAATGGCTAGGGCCACCTTCTCTTTCCTTCTTGATTGTGCTCTTAAGCAGATGTTTTCAATTCATGAAAATCATTTTGTTGCAACAAAAATTAGAAGATTTAACTTGTTTGCTTAAAATGTGCATCTAGCCCTTCCCCTCCTGATCTCCACTGAGGTGGTCAAACATGTCTGTGGTGGCTAGTCAGGAGGTAATGACAGGTGTTAAAACCTTTATGAAGCTGGTTGGTTTCATTTTTATAGTTTAAACCTGAATTAATCTAAGCACACAGGGAGACATAGGCTAAAACTGAATTTGCTGCTTGCTGCAGCCCTCCAGAGCCAGCAGTATGGGCTAGGGAACAGCTGACACTGGCTCCTGAAACACTAGCACAGTGGCTGTAACCATCCTCCACTTCATGCATCTTCAGTATAGAAGTGTACTGCTTATTTCATGTCGCCCACAATGTAAGGTTTGTGCTTCTGGGGCAAAAGTAAATCCCTAAATTTGCTTGCATGATGACATACAATTAGCAGATGAATATCCTTTAGATAAAAATTACCGGGTTTGCTGTAGTCATGCCTGGTTTACAGAATCTGCCAGAACCAGTGCAGCAAGAAAGCAGCTTGCAGTGCAGATTTAGCCAGTAGAAGATTTTAGCTTATTGCTTTCTTTGCCCTGTACTTCAGAAATAATCCATGAATCCTGTTTTTCAGGAGATGTCATTACTTCTTTTCTATGGAAGGGGAGAGATTGGTTACCAGCATCAGTATATGTTTGGGATGACGGAGTTGGGTCTACTGAAAAGATAACTTTACTTACAACTCTGACACCATCTCAAAATATCTAGTCTAGCATCAAGATTAGCAGAAAGTAGGTTCCTGTTTGCAGCAGCATGTATTGGTGAGAATATGTATGTGAATTCTATTTTGGTATCAAACCAGCTCTATCTGTAATGAGGCTTGCGACCTCAAGAAGAAACAACATGGTCCATAAAGCATTTCTTATATGTCAGGTAATGGACCAGTCCTTTTTGAGCTGTACTGAGGATAGGAATACTTGCCTTCTTTCAATTCAGATAAATGACACAGCATGAAACTGGGTAATACAAAGGTCATGTTACTGAAACTGTTGCTATGGGAAGTATGCCTGCCAGTGTTTGCAGCCAGGTGTCTTGTGGCTAGCAACTCGTTTTCTCAAGATGAGTTTTACAGGGTCCGCTGGTACATTTGTGTCAGTAGCATTGTAGCATCTGCATACTTTGTTGGAATTATTTTCTAGCAGTTAATTAGCACAGCTGTTAATTTCAACTTTCTCAGTTCCCGAGTTTTGGAAACTGCATAAGGAAGTTGTTCAGGAAGGACAGTTCTTACAGTATGGCTAATCCATCCAGGCATTATGATAGAAAGACTAATGCCCTGATCAAGAGAACTGGATACAACCTTGCCTTAGTCACGTTAAGCATAAGATCATTCTTTCAAATGTGAACAGTTATGCTTTTAATAAGAGTAGAGAAGAATTCACAAAATCATTTTATCAGCCTATATCAGTACAATATTTGCAAGTACGTCAAACATTTCATTTTCAAAGATGAGATGCATCCATGGAGGAGTCATCTACAGGAACTCAGGATCTTGCAGACTTAATCTCATTTAAAATCTCTATATCTTTGCAGTGGAGATTTAATATAATTAAAAACATACAACAAGTTAATTAATTCCAGGAATTCATAATGAAAAAGCAATAACAAACACTGGATATATCTTTCAGTCTAGCAACACTGGTTGTGACCTGGATAATGCCTACAGTGAAACTGCAGAACAGAAAGCAGCATCTCTTCTGTTATGGTCCTCGGACAAGTGTGCAAACCTTTATTTAGGACAGCAGGAAGGAGCCATATACATATCTGGTGAATAAAGGCATTATTTTGTGAGAGAGAATTAGAAATACAAAGCCATAAAGGAAGAAATAAGGCTCTTGTTTAAACTCATGTAATTCTTATCAGTCATTTTCAGACTGCAGTGCCATTCATTCTGAAGCTGTAGAAACAGTAATCAGTGGCCCTAGTTTTTGAGGTATCTATCTGAGGATCATTTCATCTGAAAAAGCATCTTTTCTCTGCAGTAGAGTGCAAAGAATGGAGCCATGTAATTAAACAGATAATTACTACCCAGCAGAAAGAAGACCAGGCAGACTTTAATTTGAATGTCTTTTGGGGGAAAGTCTTCTATTTTTACAGTCTGTGAGTCACTTGAAACGCAGAGACTAGAAGAGGCTGTATGTTATTGTATGGTAGCTGATAAGAACCGATTCAAAGTAAATTTTCACAGTAATCACCTAGTTATAGGTAGTAAATAAGTGGTGATCCTATATTAACTTATCTTGGTATTGGTATATGTAAGAGTTTCATATATGTTTACAAGCCTTACTGGGCTTGGGTACTTTACTTTCGTGTTAAATAATATAAACAAGGCCTGTTCTTAAAGCGGGAAGCTTAGGAAAGGGCCAGAAACAGGTTAAGCATCTGCTTCTGACACAGTTTACTCTGTGAAGTTCATCATAAACATCTTTTGTTGGCATCTTCTTTTAACCTGTAAGAGCATGGCTGGGCAGAGCTGGCACCTGTGCTTGTTTCCCTGTGGGGAGCTACACTGCTATGTGCCTGGAAAGCCTCTGGGGAGAGCGGAGTTGAAAGGGTGCTGGTATGGGAGGTGGCTGGGTTTGGGAGCTTGGTTTCTGTTACTCCTGCTCTGCTGCGCTGGAGTGGGGTTGCATTGCAAGGCAGGTTTGCTGGAAGGGGATAAAATAGCTCCTCTCCTCTAAAGTCTTTCCAGAATGGTGATGGCTTCATCTGGGAGGCCTCACATGAGTCACCCATTTCTCACCACTTTCTCCGTTCACAGTCCACTGTCTCCTAGCTCAAATGGGCCTTGACTAAATGGGTTTCTGACAGAAGCATAAAAAACTCCAACAACCCAAACATATGGAAATCTGGTTGCGTTAGTCAGATGGCTGTGTCCCAGTCACGTGCTGAGGGGTGTCTCTAGTTTGGCTGCATTTTGCTGTTGTGAGGCTTAGCAGGCTGCATTGCTGGCAGTTATGCCTTTGACAGGTATACGTCCAGTCAGACAAAGCAGTGGTTTCTGTCCTCAAAGGCTGCTGCATGTGGGCCTGGAACATTAGGTTCCCTGAGCCACCTTGACACAGTGTCTGCTAGGGCCCAGATGCTGCAGGTTTAGGCTTCCTGCTGTCACCCCAGCAGTTTCTCCTCCAGCACTTCTGGGGGATGGTTCAGATGGCTTTTCCCCTGGTGCTTGTTGTGCTCAGCCTGAAGCAGTGGAGTCTCTCCCGCCGTGCTTTCTCTTTCCAGGTATCTCACAATCTCCCCTGTATTCATTCCTCTGTCCTTCCCATGATTTCTTTATTGTTCATGTCTTCTGCTGTGGCATTTTGAGGATTCCTCTATCAGAAACTACTGCAGCACCTGGATAATAGTTCAGTTCCAGTAGGGCAGCTTTACCCTCAAATGCAAGGAAACTTCTCCACAGTTTTCTAAGATGAAGTGAAACCAAGTTGGAAGGCAGCTATGTCTATAGCAGTCTGTCTTTGCTCCTGGAAGAGTTTGTTTTACATCTTTTGCACTAAGAAACAGTTCAGTGTGCTACACTTACTGGTCACCATGTCCATTTGGGAGGCTGTGTGATTAGGAAGATGGCCTGAGCAGCATGTGATGGGAACCATCTGCAGGGGAAGAGGATTGGAGCTGCTTGTGGGGGTGTATGAATTAGGATCCAGCTGCTCAGGGTGGGCTCGTGGTGTGGGGGCTGCATGGCTCCAGGCTGCTGGAAGGTAAGGTGGCCACTGGGAGCTGCGAAGGAGGAAGCTGAGAAGGAAGCAGGAGGTCAGCCAGGCCTCTCCTTGGAGAGGAGAGAAAACGTAGAAGGGGGGTGGGGGGAGGAGTGCATGAAGCTGCTAATGCCCATGTCAGAGCATGATGTAATAGATTATGATAGTTGCACAGCAGTGCAGAATGTTTGGTTGTAGGTAGCAGCATGCTGTAAAAATGCATTATTTTGTCTGAGAAAGGGCTGTACTGGTGAGCAAAGAAGAAAACGCCTTGTGAGCTCACG